GCGGTCCATCTGCTGTGCTGGATCATGCCTGCAGCAGACATCAAGGGAGCAGATTTCTTCTGTATTGGACCTAAATCCTGCTTGATACCGTCATACATTCCCTTGATGTTACCTGTGTCTGCTGCTATCTGTATCTGAGAGCAGAGCTGAAGCCAATACGTCTTAGAACATCTCCTGGCAACCTGTTGGACTTGGCTATGAACAACTCGAAGAGCTATAAGTTGTATTCACTAGGACAGGCTTTGTATGCTGCTCGAGCTCTCCTCTTATCCTTGATGGCTGCCATCAACTCCTCCGAATGGGCTTCGAACCAGTCTGCTGTCTTTTTGGTCTTCTTGCCAAATGTGAACAAGAGCTTCTGGTACCACTTATTTAAAGCTAGAACCTTGCCCCCTCAGACCATGCAGTCAGGGAGAACAAAGGCCAGAGCAAGAACACCTTGCAAGCCTAAAAATCCACAAGACTAGGAAAAAAAATACCATACCAAATAAAATGTCCTCCCAGACACAGCTCACCTTCTGCTTCCCCTTCCTCTGCTTCCTCTGCAGGAAAAGGGCTTAAACTTTATTTTTCTGCTTCCCCTTCCTCTGCTTCCTCTGCGGGAAAAGGGCTTAAACTTTAATTTATTTAGCTTTAGATCTAAAGACAGTTTAAAATATCGAACTAGATTTCCATAGGTGAATTTGCACAGAATAATCAAGTTCTTTGTCCCACTCCATTCTCATTTCATTAACATCAAATTGAGTGCTTTCTAATAGGCATTTGTAAACTACTCAGAGTGTACCTGTTGGGGTTACTACCCCAGCTACATTATTTGTCAGCTGCCAAATTTGTTGGTGTCCAGAAGCTATCAGATATTTAGGTGTATTAGTTTCTTGATCTACTACTCAAATTATTATGATGAGTTTATTGGTATTGTTGACTGAAAATGAAATCTCTCCTGATTTGGATAGATGGGCATCACTTAAATTAACTATCTGATGTAAAGGGAATACACTTAAAATGACTGTATTACCACAGACACCATTTGGTCATCATGCTGTTCTACTGTATATTCTCCAAAGTGATTTTCAGAAAAATAAAACTGAATTTAAGAAAATTATATCAGTGGCTTTATGTCCCTGCTTTCCACTTAAGATGGAGTTGCCAATTTTGGAAGGGGAATTCAATTTTCCAATTTTGAGTCTTTGTCATAAGACATAACTTTTAGCAGGAACAGATAATTGGCAAATGCACTCTAATTCAACTTACTCTTCATAGGCAGCTATGTAATCAATCTCTTTGAAGCAATTTTTCCCCTGGACCTCTGATCCTCAGTCAAAGACATTTTCCCTGCTATACGTATTTTCAGGAGGCATGCTGACTTGGCCTATGATTTCTTCGCAATTACAGTTCAACCAGTATGCATGTGTTACATTAACTCTATGGGGTAATCTTGATCCAAAAGTTATGAGTCAATTTTTTTAATAGGGAAAAAAAGTTGGTTGTGGGATATACACAGAACCACATATGATCTACCTTCTGGAATAGCAATGTTTACAATTACAACATCTTTTAATGAGCCATTACCCTGGAGAGCCTTAGCAGCCCTTGCTACTTAAGAAATATTGTTTGCATTTTCAGTTAAATGAAAAATAAAACAGATCAATTAATTTTTGAAGGCAATAAATAACAGATGGTTGTTTTTTTAAAAAAATGGCCATTTTGTCCTGGGTTAAAAGCTTCTTGGGGTACCTGAAGCTGTTCATTCTTTGTTTCCCCTGTATGTGGTTGGTGATATTTTGTCTACATAAGCATCCCCACCTTGAGAATGAATTAACTATTGTGCTTTGCAAATCAGCAAACCAAGGGGAAAAAGAAATTTCCCAACCCTGAGGTGCTTACAGTCTGAATTGTGGCAATGTGGGAAGGAACAATACAGTAGTTGGCACTGAAGAGAAGGCAGACAGAGGAAACAGGAAAAGTGCCAACAGTGCAGTTGCTCATACTTAAGCATTGTTTCAGCTGTGGGTGATACAATGTGGAAATGCTCCACTTCTCCATCTTTTCTGCAAAATCATATTCTTAAAAATGCATTGTTCACTGAAATTAGTATTATAATGAAAGATGTACCCAGTGTAGTATAGTGAATAGTGTGATGGACAAGGACTCTGAAGACCTAAGGTCCGAATCCCCACTTGGCTGTGAAAACTCAGTGGGAGAGTGAAACTGGTAAAATCATTTCTTATGCTCCACTTCTCCATCTTTTCTGCAAAATCATATTCTTAAAAATGCATTGTTCACTGAAATTAGTATTATAATGAAAGATGTACCCAGTGTAGTATAGTGAATAGTGTGATGGACAAGGACTCTGAAGACCTAAGGTCCAAATCCCCACTTGGCTGTGAAAACTCAGTGGGAGAGTGGAACTGGTAAAATCATTTCTCAAATGTCTCACCTTGAAAGCCCTGTAAGCATCACTATAGGTTGGTTCCAACTTGATGGCACATAACTATAATGAGGAACATAGTGCAAGTTAAAATGGACAGTTAGAATAAATGCAATATTAGTCAAATCTAAAATCAGTCCTGAAATAACCTTTTTGTAAGGTAATTGTACTTAAGGTAAGGTAAAGGTTCCCCTTGACATTTTAGTCAGTCGTGTTCGACTCTAGGGGGCGGTGCTCATCCCTGTTTCCAAGCCGTAGACCCAGCGTTTGTCTGAAGACAGTTTCCGTTGTCACGTGGCCAGCGCAACTTCGACCCAGAACGCTGTTTACCATCCCACCGAGGTGGTACCTATTTATCTACTTGCATTTACATGCTTTCGAACTGCTAGGTTGGCAAGGAGCTGGGACAAAACGATGGGAGCTCACTCCGTCACGTGGATTCGATCTTACGACTGCTAGTCTTCTGACCCTGCAGCACACAAAGGCTTCTGCGGTTTAGTCTGCAGCGCCACCACGTCCATATTGATGTCATAAAATGTCAGGAATATTAGTATCTTAGAAGTTGTTAGTATCTTCTGCTTTATTTTCTTAAACCTGCAGTCCTAAGCACACTGGACCAGTTGACATGATAAACCTGGGATCCTTAAGAACTGTGATTTATGAGCGCAGTCTTGCTATACATTGCTTTCTCACTCCTGCCTGTAGTGAGAATAACTAAAATCATACTGATGTTTGTACAGTATAAGGTTTGCGTAACTTGCTGCAGCTAATTGTAGCTAATTGGCAAGGTGGTAAGATGCAAAGTTGGAGGACCAGGCATGCTACAAAGAAACACCCCACCACTGTCATTTAGTTGCAATTGACTACAGCAAGTTGTGCAAATGTTATGCAAACACCAATGGGATTTGACTTACATTGCTCTTAGGCAGTATCAAAGAGTTTGCTGCCAAAATTTCATTACGTCTGCTGTTGCAAACCACTAAAAGCCACTTAACAAGTATTTCCTGCTGGGAAAGGTATTTTTGTGATTTCCTGCTGAAATTTGGTAATATAGTGTGTGGCCCACAAGGGCTCTGGAGTGCATGGTGGTGAAATTGGCTGCCAGAGTTGCCAAAAGTGCCTCCCCTTACACTAAGTGAACTATAGAGCAAGGTGAGGTGAAGAATCAGCCTTCCAAGTGCAAAACCTCCATCTGTCATAGCCAACATAGTCAGTGGGAACAAATAATAGTAACTGCAGTCCATCTATATGTGGAGGGCCCCACATTTCTCATACTTGCACATAAACAGTGGTTCCAAACCTTTTTGGAGTGTGGTCCCCTTCTGTAATAGCCCAGTAACTTGTGACACCCCCTCTGCCGTATTTGCATAAAAATGCAATTTTTAATAAGGTAAAGTCATCCCTTTTCAGAAAGTGAAGGCTTCTTTCTCTCTGAAAGGGCCTGTTTCTTATACATATACATACTACCTCTGATGTCAGGCTATGAAAGGTTAAGGAAGAAATTATTTTACAAGGGCTGCTCTCTATATAAGCGACCCGTAACCTCTCAAGAAAATACTTTGTGGCCCCCTTGGGGGTTCACAACCCCAGGCTGGGAAACATTGCACTACGGCAGAACCACCAAGAGATACAGCCTTTTGTTACTAAAGAACATAAGTTGTTTTATCCATTGAAACGGCTCAACATTGTCCATTACTTCATTTGAGCTCCAGCATTGTCCCTGCTGTTAAGGTACCCTTCGCTCAATAGTTCTCTTACTTCACTATCTGTATGTGAGAATGTCTGGACTACACTCCTCTGGCTGCATTCATATGAGCCAAAACAGACATTCCTGTGTATTTATGAAGTGATTTATTCAATTTATTCCAAAGAGCATCTGGTATACTGATGTCAGGATTTTCCATTTTTGTTGGCAAGTCTTTCCTCAAAGAATGCTTATGAGTCAGTGAAGCTGCCCAACAACTGCAGTAGATCTTTGCTCCATCTTATCAAGTACAGTATGTTTTGATGAGTGGGCATTCTTGAATGTCTCAAGCAGTGGCCTTCATCAGCACTGGTATTGAAGATCTAATAAGTGGAGATAGTAGGGATTGAATATTGGATTTCATGCATGCAAAACCAAATAGTCTATTATCAAGATGTGGGCTATCCTATAGTTTGCACATACTTGTCTTTTTTAAGCTGCTTTGGCAAGACATACTTGTTCTTGAAAACGTTTGTTGTTCATAAATGGTGCTATATAAATACCAAACATAATGGATTGGATCCAGGATCCTTGCTTCACCTATGGAAGGCCTGGATTTGAGAGGAATCTTTTCCCCCTCATCCCTCAAGCCAGAGTTCACCCCGTTTAGCAGGAGCTCTTGATCATCTTTTTGCTTTAAATCTGTGGTTGCTGTCTCTATCAATGCTAATAAATCTATGAGCTGCTTTATTTATGTTTGATTGTGTATCCCAAAGATATTGGGCTGTATGAAACATAGGAATTTCCCTGTTCCCTATTCCATGATGCTTCCTCTTTCATTCTGGTAATCAGTGATCTACTAACAGTGCCTTGTGGTTTTTTTTCTAGGTATGAACAGGAACTGGTTCTCACCTCCCTGAAATAATGGCTACCGTCCTCTGTGAGAATTGCACCTTTCTGTGTCTTCAGCCCGGGTGCCTTCTCCAGCCTTCTGAAGCCAGTGGCGCTCTTCTGCTCATCATGTTGGGGAAGGTCTCTTTCAATTTGTATCTTTTGCGAGCCAGAAGACAGACTGTCCGTGACAGTTTTATGGGCTACTTTTGCATTTCACTAGCTTTCTTTGACTTGGTGCTTCTGGTCACAATGTCTTTTATCTCCTACTTTCAGAACATTATGCTTTTGGGTGTCTACTTCACCAAGTATCACATCTGTCTTTTGGCTCAGATCATGGCCTTTACCTATGGGCTTTTACACTACCCAGTTTTTATTGCAACTGGTTTGGATTATTACCTTACAATAACCCACACTTCAAAGAACTCAAGCGTGCGCTGCAGTTCCCTATATGTTTTTGCGGTAACCTTCTTGTGGATTTCCGTTCTCTGTTATGTTCTGAATCTTCCAGGGAACACGATAGGGCTTGATGTAAACTACTACAGTGCTGCACACCAATGCCCTTTCTACATCAGTAGCCAGACCTACTGGCTCTCATTAGGCATGCTGTTCATCACATGCCTGGTTCTTGTACCTTGTTGGTCAGAAGTGATGAATACGGTACAGTCAGTTAAAATAACATCCATCAGAACAGAATCTGTGTTTTTCTTCCCTTATGTTCCTGAGTGCAGCCGAAGATCCTGTGCAAAGCACCTCTTGACAAGACTCCTAATATGCTTTATGGGCACCTGGGCACCATTTCTATTCCTCCAAACGCTCATCATCTTACTGGGTGCTCAGATTCCTGCTTTCATAGAAATGAATGTTCCTTGGCTTTATTTTATTAACAGCTTTCTTATTGCAATCACATGTTGGTTAAGGCGACAGCACATGGAACTGACAGAGGAGTCTTGGGATGTGGATCCATTTGTCAGCTGGAAATACTGCTTTGTTCCTTTCAGCTATCAAGATGTAGATGAAGCTCAAAAGCCCATTACTAAAATTGTAGTCTATTAGCAAATTGCTGCGGGAGAAAGAAGTTGAATCAATATACTGGGATAGTGCATACTCTTTTTTTTTGCTTTGCTTGTGAACTTATATGAAGGAAGAAATATTACACAAACAACACAAAAAAAGTGTTCCACCAGTATATGGTTTTGGTGTGTTTGCATTGTAATGTGCTAATTGTAAGGTGGTTTCCAGTACGGGTATTATTTCAAAATAAAGTAATGAAACCTTAATACAGGGTTAGCAATAACTAAGTTTTCTTACAGTAACTAAGAGCAAAATCCAACAAATTGGCTTCACTAGAATCAAAGGGGCAATGATGCAAAAGTCCAAAATGATTCAGTGGAACATATGTATGCCCATTTACAGGTAATTGTGCACCTGAAAACACTTTCTCTAATAGGGAAACAAATTAGTGGGGAAAATGAAATTAGGAGAAAATATCACCATGTGCCATAGCAACATTTTTAGAAGACCCTTAGTATAACTAATTCTCTTGCCTTTCTGTCTTGTGGTTATACCAAGCTTTAAATGTGCAAAATAGTCTAAACAAAGCTGAAATGCAACTATAGCAAATCTAGGAAGTAGGACCCATCAGTTTATAGATACAAGGAAAAAAATTAGAACCTGTCCTTTCCAAATGCATGTTGTGATTTACTTTTGTGCCTGGCTTAGTGAGCTAGAAATGAGGAGAGTAGAAACATGCCAACATATAGAACAGCACCAAAAGATAACTTCCCACACCACAAGAGTGTGTTCTAAATGTGAATATACTCTTTCCTGTTGAAAAAACATAACTCATTTCCCACACCTGCATTTCTTTCACAAAAAGACTCTACTGTTCCTTACCGAGATGCTGGTCAGCCCACACTAGCTTGAATTGAGACTTTTGAGGTGCTTAAAGAGGACTACTGAAATCAACAGGGCCAAGGTTAGTCACAATTGCCTTATCCTATTGATTTCAGTGCACTTGTTCTAATCATGATTTAATTCTAGAGCTACCTAGGGATGTGGCAGAAATTGGAATATAAATCAAATAACAAATTTAACTAATTTTTCCTTGATATCCTTGTTCATGGACTCTAGTGATAGCTAAGGATAAAATTCCTATTAAAATTTCACTCCAAAATAGCAGAAAAATGAAAATATGCCATGGAGCTACATGGAGTGAATGGGTGTCCTTAGGTATTTGTTTATCTATGGAATCCTCATGCGGGCTTGTCCAGATGGGGAAATTAGGAGCAGTCTGGTTTGTACTTAAAAGGTTTTCCATGTGATCTATTTTTTCCCCACTTGAGTGATCCTTCCATTAACACTGGAGATTAGTCTCCTGCGAGAAGGGTCCGCTAAAATCTTTGGATCACCAGTTTACTCTATGTGTATTTGATTTACTTCTAAGATTTACTCAGGTTACTCACAAGTAAGGAAGCAGTAGTGGAGAACAGCAGTTGCGGGGTACTTGCTCAAGAGAAATACATGGAGAGTTGGAAGGGAGGTAATCCTGTATTTCTCTTCAGCTGGGGCTCTGCTGCCCATGCAGTTGACATAGCCTCATTTCCCATGGCAAGCTATGGTGACTTTCATTTTGTTGTTGCTATTAAATAAAGCAAGTGAAATGTTGAAAGAGCAATGTGTGAACTTGGCACAGTACTGGAATTGTACTGGGTCAGTTAGGGAAATATATGAAAAAATAAGACAAAAATAGAGGGGATTTCTCCATTTTCCCTCTTAATGTTGCAGGCCACCTAATATGTTACAGGGTTGTCACCTCAGCTAATGCCCCCCAAGCTACACTTGGGCGCAAACCAGCCACCCACACAAGTTATACTTGTCTCATGCCAAAAAACCTCCAGATGCTCCTAGTTCTGTGCCAGAAAGGAGTGGGTCAGCTCTTAAAGGGGCAGGATGGATCAATCTAAGTAGAAACAGGTGTGGACAACACAATTTGGTTTGAGCCAAACCATACCAATGGGTCTTCAGGTGAGGCCCAGCTTCAAGTCCTTTCTTCATTGTAAGAAATTTGTAAGCTCTCCCGTGTGCTAATTTTTGGTTGAAAGGTGGGGTATAAACGTAATATAATAATAATAACATTTCTAAAATAATAATAATAGTACAGTAGTAGTAATAGCAAATACTGTACTAGCTAACCAAGAGATCTATGAGAACAATCCAGATTCAAGTGCAGTAGCAGATCGAATGTTTCCTGGTAGCGAACATTGCCTCTGATATTGAAGTTCATATACGTATCACCATGACTGGTAACTGCTGATAGCCATTACCCTCCATGTGATCAGCAAATACCAGAAGGTGTAATACTGCTATCTGGGAGAGACTGCTAGGATTACATATAGAAAAGGATTTGAAGAGATGGATAAAAGCTTTTTATTTTCCGAAACCATCTAGTTGACATCCAGTCCTTGACAATACATGACTGGTGTTTATCTTGAGATGGTATATTACGTAATTTGGGTTGGATCCAGACTTCAGCCAAGATCTAACAGGATGCTTCCATCAGTAAACTGGGAAACATGATCGCCCTCCTACATATTCCTGTGAGCCCTCAGAATTTCCTTTAGAGGGTCCATTTTGGGCCATAAAGTGGGGCATATATCTGAGCTGAGAAATACATAATACGAGCTGTCACTCCCTTTTTTAAAAATGTAAAAAATATAATTAAAAAATTAAAAATACAAAGTAGACAAATGGAAGTAGCTTTTATTTCTGAAGCACTGTATTCACAATTTTAATGTAAAGTTGAAATATAAACCATGTCTGTGATGCTGTAAGTCAAATATGTAATCCACAGGAAGCAAATATTACCACATAAATATGCTTGATACAAAAAGAAGAGTGCCAATAACAAAAGGTGCAATTACAAGCAAATAGAAGCAGCAATAGTATAAGGTGCTTTGATTCTTCATTTGTATTATCTGATTACCAAGAGACAGATGAAATAACATGTAAATTTTACATCACTTCTATAGACCATAACAAATATGAGAATCTAAAAGTCATCCACATGCTATATTAAATATGAAAGTGCTTTTAATATAAAAAGGATACATATAGATCAAATTTTATCTAAATCACTGTGGGGGTTACATTTTAAATGTAAAAAATGATTTAGCTTCATTGGGGGAAGGTTTTGTTTTATTTTTTAGAATAACTTTCATGGCAAACAATCCAATGCCAAATTGATGCTATGTTAAAACCACTTGTTCAGGAAAATCCAAGTACCATTCCATGATACAAACACATACATACATAGATATCTTGATAGATAAATCTTACACTAGTTTATAATAAATGTCAGTTATCTCTCATTCTCGCACAGATCTTCCCTCTTTATTGGCTTCAGATACTAAAGAGGGAGAAATCACCCCAAATAAATACAAAACAGTTTCTGATGTATTAAAGAAATTTAGCTTAAAAACAAAGTGTAGTTAAATACTATGAGATAAGAGAACAACTTCAAAACAAATGTGCAATAAAGGGGCATTAAAGTTAAGATCATAGTTTGTAACCATTGGTTAGTTTATGTAACATGGAAGCATCCCGTCAAAACTGATAAGTATAAAATGCTTTTACAGAATCCAAGATGCCTTTAAAATATTTTGAGCCCCAAGCAAGCCTTGCACTTTGTCATTTTGAGGGCTAATTTTTCAACTGATCTAATTAGACAACTGTCCAAAATGACTTGTAAAAATATTTACCAACTCATGTCTGTAAAGTACTGTAGCATCAGACATTTGTAAAAAATGAGGTTAACCAAAAGTATGTGGATGATAGCATCTCATACAAACTATTGCCATTCTTATTTGGCTTTGCTCGAATGTCTTGATTCCAAGTTCTCTTGCAAAATTAAGGTTCTTAATTTTCTAGTCCTTTATGGGATAGTTTAGATGCAGTGATCTGGGCTTAATAAACATTATAAAATATAGGTTATTAAGCTAAGCTTAATACTGCACTCACATGCTTTTCCCCATTGGGTGCCAATTTTAGAATTTTAATTGGTTTATTTAAATCAGGGTTATTCTTGTTTCAACTTAAACGGGGACCTGTACTTTAATACTGGTTTAGCAATCAGTATCCAAAATGATACCCTGTTTCCCTGAAAATAAGACCTAACTTGAAAATAAGCCTTAGCGTGATTTTTCAGGAAGCTCGTAATATAGGCCCTAACCCCAAAATAAGCTCCAGTTAAGTGAAACCCCACCCTCCACCATTTTGCAGCATTGTGCAGCAACCAGGAGAAGACAACATTACTGTAAAATAAAACATCCCCTGAAAATAAGCCCTAATGTGTTTTTGGAGCAAAAATTAACAGGAGACAATTCACAAAACATTGAGTTCAGCTTCTTTCCAAAAGACTGATCTCTGCAACAAGTCTCTGACATGCCATTTTAGCTGCTACATGACAAATTCTAGGTTTAAAATGTAATGCAGCCTCTTATATGCTACTGCAAACAAGTACTATACTTTAAATGAATTAGGGACTTTTCTTTCTATCAATAGTAATCTGGATTTTTATGGAGTTATTTCTGAAAATTAAAGATCTGGGTAATTTTCAAATCAGTAACACACTAGGATTTCCCTAGCAACCACTGATAGCAATACTATGACAGTATGTTTTAGAGGAAAGTACAATTATGTGGAAATCTACAAAAAGGGAAAATGTTTGGGAAGACTGTCAGATTTGCATTTTGGGAGAGTAAATTCGTAACAGGTCTGTTTGAAGAAATGATAACACTGGCAGCCCTGGCTCATATAATCTGCTGTTTTATATAAACCTTTTAATGTAGAAAATGCACTGCACTATATAAAGGATACACTGGATGATCCTGTTTGAGAAAACGAAGGTGGTGAAGCAACTGGTACTATGTCCCCACTGCCTGTATTTCATACCTGGAATGTGCTCAATTTATTTCTTTGGTGCTTTCTCCATCATGGAGAATGGCAGTCTAAGCCAACATTAACCTTAACTTTCTCCATTTGCAAGTACTTTAGTCATGCTTTGTTAGAACTGTGATTGGATTCATCTTACATCCACGCTCTCAGGATTGTATCGTAAGATACAGATGCCAGCTTTGAAGCCCTGGGTATGTCAACTGCTGAACATGATGGAGAATCTTAATTGTCAAACATGGTGAAAGGTACATGGAGTTAACAATGTTTTGAAAATTCTATTGCTATTGCACTTACATATGAGGAGATAATGCTGACAAATCATATTAGTCAGAGCCTGTTTACATAATAAGCATTCAGAACAGCAGATGTATGCAGCAGAAGGCAAAGAAATTCATATGTATTTCTTATTCTTGATTGTTTTAGGCATAATCCAGAAAAAGTGCCCCTAATTCCACTGAAGCCACTGTAACAAAAGATACTCAATTACACATTCAAATACCTTTACTTCAACGTTGCTTACTCTGACTCATGCTCATGGCTTTATTTTAAACAGAGAAACAAGTAGGAGATGGCATTTGAGACTGACTACACAGTGACCTTTTCCTGTACATTCCAACATTATATACATTTGATGCCTACAGACTTTTGTTTGCATTGTACCCTTTTTGGAAGTAGTAATTGCCATTGCTGAGCTCCTATAAATGTTTACAAACTTTTCATCATGTCTTTAGCGCCCATGATTTAAAAAAAAGCTAAATACCATTAAATGCCTTTATATTATACATAACACAAAGGAGGTGGACACAACCAATACTGCTTTCAACTGCATTTTTCTTACCTAGTTTGTTTATAGCTTGACATACGGAAGACAGCCATATTATGTAAAACCAACGTTTTCCAGAAGAAAGTTTTGAGGCCCAATCTATGTCTCTAATTCATATCAGCATGTGTCTGTTTTTTGTGCTGATTCTGGACAGCCACAAGGCAGATCTGTCAGTCAGGTGACAGCAAGCATGACAAGTACCTACATGAGCTGGCAAATCTGTTCCCATCCCAATACTGCTTCCTTTAGTGTAAAGTAATAGTGAGGAAACTTGTAAATTCCCAGATATCACTGGACAGCAGTTCCCATCATCCCTCACAACTGGCTTCACTAAAATCAACATGTGATTTAAAAATATCCCATTTCAGACTATAATAAATGAATAATCTACATGGTCATAACTGCTTCTAGTGGAGAGATTCAATAGCAATTCTCCCTATTTAGACAGTAGAATACCCATTTGCTTAGTGAGTATCAACAATTCAGAGCTGGTTGTCACGCTGCATCACATCTGGACATCATTAAGAGTACAGGATGCTGTGCATACACTAAAGGTAACAACAAGACATGAACAGCTTCTCACTTTACATTTTGTACTTTGGTAGCTACAATTGGGTACAAAATGCAAAGAATCAGCCCTGAGATTCTAGGAAGAAAACTGAAGGAAAATTGCTAAGGTAGCAAAAAGGATGCACAAGGTTTTTGCAAGCCTTGTACAATTACTTATGTGCATCTCCTAATTTTTCACCACTAGTACAAAAGGAACCAGCAATGATAAGTGCTATATTTTATAGAACAGGAACTTAAGACCATGCAGTTCGACAGCTTGCTCTGCGAAAACACTGTGTGGAGTTGCATACCAATCAATACATTTGCTCCCTTACAAACCTACCACCTTAATGAACACAAATTCATAGTGACGGTCATCCTGGATAATGCTTAGATACAAATGGAACATATAATTGCAAGTATGTCCTAACAACCATTATTCACTTTTATGTGTGAACATCACACTAAGCTATGTATTATGCCACATTTCCACAAAGGCATTTCCTTGCACACAGCAAGGAAATGTACACATTGGAAGAAGGATAACAGAGGTATTCCTTGACAGATTCTCTTAGAAGTATGGTTATAGCCATCAAGGGACAAACTGGGCTGCAGGGGTGAGGGAAAAGGAAATTATATATTTCTTCTCCTTGATGCACCTTAAATTCAGTACTTCAGGAAGTTTGCCTATGCTGAGGGCAGCAGGCACTGTCCTTTGGCTAAACCCAATCTGCCTCTGCACCATAGAGAAACTCCTTCTCTACATGCAGCTTAGCTCTAGAGCCCTACCAACAATCCAGTGTGTAGGCAGTGCCTTGAAACTGCATTTGGCTGCTTCTGTGCAAAAGGAAGCTGGAAAGAGCTTCATGATGCACTGTAACTGGGCACAACACAAGCCTTCTTTGGTCCAGTGTTTGGTTGTTACCAAACCATTGCCACAGCCTAAATGACCAGAAAAAGAAATGTGTACATATATTACGCCAACTGGCTAGAATACTCAGAATGCCTGAATGCCATTGAGCAGCTAATTAGAGACTCATATCTCTCCTATGTTAAACGGGTTTCTTGGGAGAAAATGTTGTCACCACTGATATGTTTATCTGGGGCAGAATAATTTGTGCTTCTGTTCTTATTGTTTATCCTCAAGGGTGCAATACCTGAATATGTTGAATAATAATAATAATAATAGTAATGACATGACAATAATAATACTGCAATCATCTACAGAAGATCACTGTAAACCTATACATTGTGCATCTAATGAAATGTTTGTATGTTTTATATAATAATGATTTATATAATGTTTATCACTCTATTATAGGTAAGAACTTGTGCTCAGTTTGTAACAGAAGAGATGGAAGATTGTTCTAGTTCCCAGATCCTTAAAGAATGGACATTTTAGGAAGGGCCATTTATGAAACATAATTAGTCTTATGTAGAATTCATTTAAACTGAAATATTTTGTTTTCAATTATGTACAGCCCAATATGCCTTTACTGAACATTTAGATGGGGCCTACTTCAATTCGCACTGATAATCTTGTTGAATAGAACACTATTAGTTTACACTGTTTGGCCAAAATCTGACTGCAAAAAGCCATAAACATCAGGGCATTTTCACATGGTTGCCCATCTCCAGTGGGCTGTGTTTTGTATGATTAGATATGACTGGTCACACATCCAGTTTTGTAACCAGTGTGTAACCAAGCATGTGAAGGACAGCCTGCTGGAGAAGGGGAAATGCTTACTTAATTACCCTCACACTGCAATTCCCCAACACGATTCAGGCTTAAATTCCATACAGATTGGACTCAACGATTAATTTTCCTTTACTTTTCAAAAAGTGGCAAAAATATACTTTTAATTTTAAATTCCTCCAATTGTGCTTTTCAAAGATTTCCTTTTCTTTGTTTGGATTTAAATGCCAATTTTTTTTTCCTGGATTAAAAATTAGTTCATAATGACAGCTTGTACACACAAACACACACACAGTGCACACACTTGTAAATGTTTGATGACTCTCCTTAGCACTTTGAGGAGCAACATTACTTCAAAATTCTGTAATGTATTTTACTATTAATCTGCTAATAACTATAAAAGTTTGAAACAATTCTCTTAAAGCAAATTTCCATCTCAGGTTCAAACAACCAGTAGAGCACCATTCATACCTAAGTGCTTTTGATCATTCTAAACTTTCCTTAATTAAAAAGACCACGGTGCTAACATATGCCGTATTTTTTCCATGTATAAGACTATACTTTTGTCTAAAATCTTTACACTAAAAATTGAGGGTCGTCTTATACACGGAAGCTGAGGAGAGAACAATAACAAGTGGAGGGGAAAGCAGGGATCAAAGCGATCCTGCAGCGCTTTGATCCCTTTCCCCTTACACTTGCTAAGCCCCACTTAGATTTCTTAATTTTGGATTAGAAAAGTGGGGGTATCGTATACATGGGGGCGTCTTCTACACGGAAAAAATACAGTACATGAAACAAAAACATTCTTAGCAGGACCAAAAACCAATTCATTTGTGGGGGGAGGGGCTTTCCTCTTGTTTCCACTCAAAGCAAAGAGAAAGAATTGTAACTGTATTGCTTACTATTTATTAGCATTTTTATATAGGGTTGACTCTGTCTGGCAGTGTGTGCGGGACTGCTCCTGGGAGGAGGAATGCCAAAAATATCTCCCTCCTGGTTCTACTGAAGGATGTGTCCCATTACCAGAAGGACACTAAACCTTTTTAGCTACTAGTTGTTTTGTTAATAATTTCTGAGAAGTAAATCTCAGTCTTAAGAGGTTAGCATTATTACTGAAGCTTATGTATGTCTGAAAACAGACAATCTCTTCTGGAAGATTCACTTTCAATTATACAGTAAACAAAATCTTCATACATTTCTTTTTTACATGCTTCATTAAAATGAAGAGAAATGTATAGGTCTTCTGTGAATGCATTATGCTCATGAACATTCTTAGGGAGTTAGACTCCTTTTCATTCAACCTCACTAGCTGAACAGTGGCAGCTCCAGGATCTTTTGGCATATGAGGCAAAGTAAAAAAAAGAAAACAAAAATCTTCAAGGGCAAACACATGAATATAAATTCCTAATAGTTTTGTGCCACTGCTTTAGAGATCCTTACTGTAGGTCTAATAAGTTTTAGGGATAATACTGTGCTGAGAGTAAATGTTAAGAGCTGAGACCACTGTAATTTCAGGATTTGCTTACTGCAAATGTGGAGGGAAGAACAGGATCCCTACCAGAGTATCTCCTAGGGTAAACAAGGACGCAGACAAACAAGAGAACCACAGAAGTAAAAGAGAGTCCAGATATGTCTACTGACCCAACTTGTCCTTCAGAACGATTCAATATCTTGGAGCCATCCAGCCACTAAGGGGACAGATGTGCATTTACTCCTTTGGTCTATGTTAAGCAGCAGCAAGAAAACCTGGAATACCAACATAATGCCCACTTCAGGGCACAGCAGCATAAAGGAATGATGTGCTTTTTCAGTACTCTCTATCAAGGGTGCTATGCTATTCCAGCTCTTAACCGAGTTTCCATTTTGTGCATCAAACTAACCATACAACATTCCCAAAGATGCCTCCCCTCCCGCCATTAGAAAACCCAACATTAATGAATTTGTGTACACTGGGGTGCTATGTATGCCGACACGAAGGACATGGAGAATGCAGATGACAGAGATTGTGATACTGAATATTTGCTGCATTCACAAAACGTTTGACCTACTTAGAAAAAGACTTCTGCACTCATAGAAAATACTACAGTGGTGGGTGATCTGTAAGGTTAGGAGAGAAAAAGAGGTCAGTTGCAAGTTCCCTTCGACCTATGCGCTTAAGATTAATTGAAACTCAAAGAGCGCAATTTAATGCATAGCATTTTACCATAATCTATGCTTCCACAGACTCTGTGGACTCTTCTGTTAAGCCGTATTCTTAAAAAGCTTTCTACAAAGGAAAAAAGTGTATAGAAACACAATTTAAAACTGTAATCAAGGTTATACTGTATATATTTTTTAAAAAGCTTAAATCCTGTATGGTAAATAATTGCCTTTTTGGAATAAGCATCACCCACAACATATTACATACACTTCACAAAGCTTTCGACTGAATCAACCTCATCCTGCGTTTGAATACAATTTGCCAGCACAGCTTATGCTTCTTGATAAGCTGGATAACTACTAGAAGGTTTGGAAGATTACACTAAATATGCTCCTCCAGTAGTTGGTATGTGAAAAATATGTGTAGCAAACACAGCTGTAATAATCACATCAAACATTTAGATGTTGGCTTATTTTACAGGTTTGCAATCTGCCGTTTTCTGTGCCTTAGAGTCTTAGTTTTTCCACTATGATTCCTTTAAAGAATTGATCCGTGCACAGATTTTCAGTGCAGGTCCTAGCTTAATATTCATTGCACTCATGAGATGATCTTCTTTTAATAAGAGAAGAGCCTGCCCATCAATTTCCTGAGCTCGAAATTCATCAGCAATATCTTGACAACCTGAAAGGCAATAACAAATATTACTTAGGGTATTAGAAATCAGGATTTTGTTTAAAGCTCAGCTGAATTATTACTTCCAGTGCATAAAGGACAGATACACTTATAGGAACCTGGACTACATTTCAATCTTGCTTTGCTCCATGTTTGTGGGAAGGAGCATTTTCACAAAGGTTTTAGTCCTCTGTCCCACTAAGGCTGCCTTCTTTTGCCGTGGAATCATTAAAGTTCTGATGCAAACACAGTGATGCTGCATACAGAATAGACCAGTGGTTCTTAACCTTTGTTACTCGGATGTTTTTGAACTGCAACTCCCAGAAACCCCAGCCAGCACAGTTGGTGGTGAAGGCTTCTGGGAGTTGCAGTCCAAAAACATCTGAGTAACAAAGGTTAAGAACCAGTGGAATAGACCACGACAGTGTCTGGCATGTCCTGTTCTTTCATTCCTCTTCCTGCTCGGAAGCAAAATATTTAAACACCTTTCAAATAATGCTGTCTTTGAATAAACATAACATTCTCACCCCTCCCTTCAAACCTGTGTACACCAATAATTTCATCTGAATTCTGAACTACTACAACTAAAAATGAATCAAAGCACTACCCTTCCGCAAGTAGTTTACGTTACAGTGTAAATTAGCCCTAAAGATAGTTAACAGGTACACTCCTGTACTGTATGGCATAGGACAATGCAATGGCCTGGGTACTAAAAGCAATAAGAATAATTTGTTTTTCCCCAGTCTCCTAATGGAAAAATTACAATATTGTATTTTTTAGACTATCTGCCCTTCCCTTGATATCTTAGTATGTCCTCTCAGAGTGGCCATACTCCACTAGTTGAATTTCAGTGATTTAAATATTTATGCTTCCAAGGTTGAGAAAGGCTAATGTTCAGTTTCAGAATATTTCAGAGAGAAAGATTGTTCAGAAACATTAGTTGTGCTTTCATCTAGCAAATGAAAAGGGAGTAGTGCCACACTGAGTGGTTCTGAGCCTAATGTTATGTATGCTATTATCTGAGATGTGATGATGGCTACTGGGCAAAGGGCTCCCCTTGGTGGAGGTTCTCTATGAACACACAGTGTCCCAAGAGAGAACTGCCAAGCACATATCTTGATATAAGTTTGGCACCAGATAAAGACCTCTCTGTTTTCATAAGGTACAAAGATAATATGCTCCACTTCTACAAATGTGTTTCTATGATGCTTTAGATTTGTTTTATGCCACTTGCCAGATTTTATGCTTGTCTTCTAAATTGTTTTAGATTTTACAGTGCTTCTACTGTAAGCTTTAAAATGTTTTTACTGTGATTTTGATTTGTAAGTCACCTTGATAATCGGCTCAAGGATAGAATCCTAAAATAAGAATTAGCCATCTCAGACTATAATGAAAGTGAACTCTAGAAACATAAAAGAAATATAAATCAGTAAGAAACTCAACATTATCCCATTTCTTTGATAACAACTGCATTGTCACATGCCTCTTCTTTCTCCTCGAGCATTCCAAGAAAAGGCACATAAATTTGAGTTGCATACCAGGTAAAGAGTGTATGAAGGCCCACACATCTTCAACAGTCCATACGGATGGGTCAGATTGCACAGGGGGTAACAAATCTATGTTGTCCGACGTCTTCCTAATTCTCAGTTCCCTAAGTTCACGCTCTCTTTCCCTTTCACTTTGCCTTCGCAAACGAGTGGTCATGGCAACTGGCACATTATCTTCTTGAGAAGCCAAGTCTTCTTCTGCAGATGGATAAGTAATTGGAAGCTGGAAAATGCAGTACAGATAAACCACAGTATAACCATTTTCCATTACAACTCTTACAAAAGGACACTGTGGTATTCAGTTAGCATTCCACAGACCTGTCTAAGGAAGTGTTCTCGAGGAGCTCCATCACAGCTGCTTGGCCGACGCCCGCGTCGTCCCAGGTTCTGACTTTCTTGGCTCCGGTTCCAACGACTAGCCTTGTCAGATGCATATAACCCATATTTCTTACTGCAACTGACGTTGTACCTAAGGATTAACAAAGAAAACAAAAATGCATAGCTTCTAGACTTTGCTTGAGTAAATGACAATGAGGAGTAGAGCGTTTAATGCCATCATGCAAGAGCAAAGATGTAAATGTAATTGTCAAGGTTGCAAAGATTGCATGGGTAAAAGCACTGAGATATATGTTCATTAGTTAATTAGTGTATGAAATGTTACAATGTATTAGAAAGTCCACTAGATGGCACTCTGTTTACATACAGTGGTGCCTCGACTTACGACCATTTCGAGTTGCGGCCAGCTCCGGCCATAAAATTTTGCTTCTACTTGCGACCGGGGCTTTCACTTACAAACAGAAAAAGGCAGGGGGAAAAGGTGGGAAATTCAAATTTCTAACTGTAGGTGGCGTTGAGGCTGCTTCTTTATAGCTCTTTCGCCCCAGCAGTTAAGAGAGTCTGCGTCAGAGGAGGCTTTGGACTGCCTCCTTTTGCTTCTGAGTGAGCGTGTGTGTGTTTGCAGGGAGGCTTCAGGCTGCCTGGTAAGGTAAGGTGCTGTTTTCTGCTTTTTAAAAACTGTCCTGGGTGTTTTGCACTGTGGTTTTCAGCTGGGGAAGGTTATGTTTCTGTGCTGTCATGGGTCTTGGGGGGGTTGTTTGTTTTTTGGTTCCCCCCCTATTTCTGATGGGACTTGGGGTTTTTTGTTGCTTTTTGGAGTGTTTTTTCCCATTTCTGATGGGTCTTTGGGGTTTGTTTTTTGGGTTTTTTCTCCCCATTTCCGATGGGTCTTGGTAGGTTTGTTTATTTTTTGGCTCCCCCCCATTTCTGATGGGTCTTGGGGGGTTTGGTTGCTTTTTTTGGGTTTTCTCCCCATTTCCGATGGGTCCTGCATGCTTCCATTGCTTTTTCCTTTGTTTTCTTTGAATTTCCGACATGCCCCCTTTGTTCTCTGTGCATTTCTGATCTGCTCCGTTTGTTTTCTGTGCATTTCGAATGGGTCTTGCACGCTTTTTTGCTTTTCTTCCCCCTCTTCAGCCAGAAGGGATTAATCACATTTCCAATGAGTCTTGCAGTGATTTTTTTGTGATTTTTTTTCTTCAGCCAGAATGGATTAATTGCATTTGAATGCATTTCTATAGGAAATGGTGCTTCGACTTACGACTATTTCGAGTTACGTCCATCTTCTGGAACAGATTATTTTACAATATTTTTTATTTACAATATTTTTTAGCCGCACCATTGCCAGTGGCTTATGGTTGTAAGTCAAGGCACCACTGTAACATATTGCTGGATCAGTGAGTAGATACATCCACATTTTGGACACCTGGCATTTTGGTACTGTTGCAGGTGTCTGAGAAAGTTTAGTCATAACATCAACAATATTTTGCCATCTTCACAATTTGCAAGAATCACGGGGTGGCTAGATCAGGAAAGGCAATGTAAATTCTCATTAAAACTTCTCAAGATGTATTACATGGGCTTACTACCCCAGTAAGCCAAATTGTTGACAGTTAGAGAGGTAAATAAACATTTCAAAAGGGTATAAAAATAGTCATAAATCAAGCTTAGGGAAGGAGCACAGGCTGAGAGGAGAGCACCTGTAGAGGGGAAGATACTCTGCCAGGGAGAGAAGGGGAACTATACCAATAACAAGATAGAAATATGCTTGATGTGATTATGTAACTGCTTATGCTTTAGCAATTAAGATACAAATATAGATAAGGCTTAATTTAGAGGTTTTTTAAGTTAGTTACTATATTTTTATAATCATTTTGAATTCTTATTACGTACTTCCTTTTGAAACATTTTATTACTTTTTCATAAGCTACACTTTTGAAAAATCATATATTATAGTTTTTATAGTTACTATTTCAAATATCCATAGATATTAATCTGGCTCATTCTGAAAGAAACCCTAAAAGGGGTAATACCTGCTGTGACAAACACAGGTATAGGATTTTTCCTAGAGGTCTGTAACAAGGCTCTTAGAAAGTTCAAGCTTCAGACTTCCTGTAACAAACACGCATCGAAATTCACTGAAATAATACACATGTTTTAAACATTCAGAATTAACTTAAACATTCTGCATTAAATTCAGTTCAGTCTTACAAAACCCTATACTGTATCCTCCAGAGGCGTTACACTACTATCCCTTAATCTCTGAAATTATAACTAATGCAAAATACCTCTTAGCACATGACATGGTGCAGAACCGCTTAGATCGCAAAAACTTGTTTGCATATCCCATTTTCCCACAGAACTCACACTTAAGGAGATCAGTTTCCATCTCATCTAGTCCTTCTAAAAGGGAAAAATATAAATTAGATCAGAAGAACCATTCATGATAACATAACTCATCTTTTAAATGGAACATTTCTTGCAGAATTTATCATGAACTAGTATTGGGATATGTTACACCCCAGATCTAAGTATACAACAATATAATCCAAGTCTTCTGCCAAGGAAAGCTGAAATTTGGTGACCTGCATAAACTATGTAAATAAAGCATTTTTCTCTGTATATATGTTTATGTTGCATAATGTACAGAACAAATAGAGGAAGCTCAAATTGTGAAAAAGGCCGAGAGCAAAAAGGGTCTACTTTGCCTGATAAAGAACTGGATATACTGAGAAAAGAAGCAGGACCTACCTCATGCAATCACATACAGGAGCAAATGGCTACAGTGGGCACTGAACACCAGCAATCCCCTTTTTTTCTGCAACTCCATATTGAATTAAACACCCTTAAGTCCTAGAGATCTCAGCATGTGCTTACCTCTCACATTAGTCAGTGAGCGTTATTATGGTTTAAGTACCTAATTAAGTTAGTACATAAAAGGCAGACTATTAAAGTTTACTGTTGACTATGAAGTACAAATCAAAATATATGCCTGTTAGCTGTAGCCCTCCAACTTCTTGTATAGCCAATCACAATAACACATTATCCTAGTATTGAGTAAAGGTTTGTTGCTCCATGTTCTTTCTCACATTGCATGACATGAAACTGTGGACATGCATATAGAGCAAAACAGGCCCCCAGGGCGTTTTAACCTATATGACTATGTATACAACAGATTTTGCATTACATTTTTAATTCAAAAAGCCACTTCTAAATTGAGAAATAATCAGCATGAACATACATGCTTAAATTGCTTCAAATCCAAAGGCTTATACCATATTTTTCCATGTATAAGATGCCACCCCCTTTTCTAACCCAAAACTGAGAAATCTAAGCGGGGCTTAGTAAATGGAGGGGGAAAGCAGGGATCAAAGCACTGCAGGATCACTTTGATCCCTGCTTTCCCCTTTTTTGTTAAGCCCGCATAGCCAGTGGAGGGGGAAAGCAGGAATCAAAGTGCTTTGATCCCTTCTCCCCTCCTTACTTCCCATGTATATGACAACCCTAAATTTTTAATCTAAATATTTTAGACAAAAGTATCATCTTATACACGGAAAATATGGTACTTTTATTTTTTTGTCCAGGTTTTTGTTCTAAAAAACACAAGTATGCAGATTTGCACGAAAATGAAAAACATCTTGATTCCTATATATACATCCTAAATATGTGAGTCAGCATATAATTTCTTAGTGATATTTTAGGAAGTTGTTTGCCAAATAAGGAGGTGACGGTATTAGGGAAGCACTGGAATAGAGGATGAGAAGGCTATATGCCCAAGACATGCTTGTGAACTCTTTATCAGAGTTGGTAAAGCACTCCCTCTGTATGGTATCTCTTCATAAAATAAAACAACAAAACAATTCAATGGGAAAGTGCAAGTAAAACTTTAGCCCAGAAAACATGAGCCTGGTGTCAAAAGAAAACACATTTCTGCTTTTGTTTCTATAGCTCAGATGCATCCCCACAATGGGTACCCACACATGAAGAATGAAGACCAACTGCCTGGATTCTCAAGCACTTATTGTCTTTCAGAATATATGTGTAAGCCAAAAATGCAAAACTGAGGCAGCACAGAAGAACAGGCAGACCACTGTCAGAGCAGAGATGGGGAACATGAGGCATTTCAGATCTTGTTAGAATACAGTTCCCATCATCCTTTACTACTGGCTATGATGGCTGGGAGCTGCAGTCCAACAATGTGCCTGGATTCTCAAGCACTTATTGTCTTTCAGAATATATGTGTAAGCCAAAAATGCAAAACTGAGGCAGCACAGAAGAACAGGCAGACCACTGTCAGAGCAGAGATGGGGAACATGAGGCATTTCAGATCTTGTTAGAATACAGTTCCCATCATCCTTTACTACTGGCTATGATGGCTGGGAGCTGCAGTCCAACAATGTCTAGAGGCAGAATTTCGTTTCGTTTAGTCCTGTCCGACTCTTCGTGAATTTTGAACCAATCAGTTGTTCCATAGAGGAAGAATATTTCCTACAAAATACTGGATATAGCTAAGGGACTATTTCACCTGAATGATGGCTTCTGTAAGATGCAGGGGAATTGAATTAACATTCTGCTTTTTGCAGTGTCAAGGCTGAAGACAAAAATTTGATTCGATTTTATTTAATTTATTCACATCATTTATAACTCACTCTTTCAAAGAAAATTTACACTCCCAGAAAAGAAAATGTATGAAGATGTTGCAACATAATTAATATATCATTTACAGATAAAAAAACTGCAAAAGATAGATCTTTCTTGGCCTAATATATAAACAAGAGTCTCCTCCAGCACCACAATTCTAATATATAAATCTGAAATTCCTCTTTTCCAAGCTTGCCATATCTTCTGGGACTCCAGCAATGAATAGCTGTTTGTACAGTAAGACTCTCTAGAGAGTCAACACCAATTCATCACTGTGAGAAACATGTCCACACAGTGTAATCACACTGAATTACACATTCAAGGAGCCTAACTTTGCACCTTATATATCACAGATATTTCACGCAAGACAATAGGTACCTTAAAACACAGCTGTCTGATCTAGCATCAAGCACAGGCAGATGTCAACCACATTCAGTTAACATGAATGCATCTGATGGAATACACATCTCTATTTAGGCCTATCACAGCAAGCACCAGAAAATGTGACTATAGCTAGAACATCTCCTTATGTCTTCAGTATCTGCATATGAGAGCTGTGAATGATAATTATTGGGAACCTTTCTATCTGAAGACATTTCACAGTGGAAAAATGAAACATTCTTACAAGTCCAGCATCCCAAGACATACTGAATACTAAGCATGTAATAAATAAGATGCACAAACCTTCAGTAATGTCCTCCATTTCTGTGTCTGAGGAATTGTCAGCATGTTTTGCATTGTTCTGTACTTCGGGCTCAACACACCTAACATTCATTACCTGGCCCTCCACTAGGAGTCTCTTTTTTGCAGGCTGCTCAACCATAAGAGATGAACAACTTACCTGTTACAAAAGAAAGTCCAAATCACATTAAAAAGAAACAATACACATTATCTAACATTGGTAACCTTACAGACTTTGGCCCTCATGGCTGAGCAAACTTAGCTAATGCTTTCATGAGCCTGACTACTGCTACAAAAGTGCATCCAGAGGCACAGAACTGGTGTACACCAGTTTCAAACATCAAACCTCATTGCAGAGGTTTGAATTCAATATTCAGACCCAACATAATGATAATAGCTGACATAAGGATGGGGAAATGAGAACAGCAAAGGTGAAGAATCTGGCTTTCATTCTAAAGATGTACTTCCTTATTTCAGATCTCAGTTTGTGGCTTTTAAATGTGATAGAAAAAAGGGCAAAAATGACACTATGGGAAAACAGATATACTATATACATAGGATTTTTAAAAAAATATGCCCAAGTCATTTTGAATCATTACCTCAATGACATTTTTCCATGGCTTTCACAGGAGGCTGCAATCTTTCATTGCCTATTTTAGTTCTAATAAAATAATTAAATCTTATGAGTATTGTTTCAGTGGCATTTAATTTGTCCTGTTTTACATCTTGTGCTTTGTATTCAAAATGTATACTTGTTCCATCATTAAACTATTATAGATGGGTTTTTATTTATCTGCTGGCCTGAGAAATTATCCTCTCTCTACCCTAGAATGATCCTCTTTGTCTGCGTCGAGTGCCATCTTATCTTCTATACCAGTGCTACCCAACCCTTTTAACCCCACGGACTGGTTGGGGAAGGCGGGGCACCCCCTGTGCTCACGCGCATGCACAAATGAGTGGGAGGGTGCTTGGGCACATAGGCGCACACTTGTGCACATGTGCAAGGGGCATAGTAGCACTCGTGCGGGGACAGGTGCAAAGGAGCTGTGGGGGGGGAGTGCGTGCAGCGGTGTTGGTGGGAAGTCTGTCTCTGCAGCCTGGTCCAGTTAAGGCCATGGACCGTCACCGGGCCACGGACCGGGGGTTGGAGACCCCTGTTCTATACAACCTCTGATCATTGTTCTATCTCACTACCAAAATCCTATTGAGCACTTATGCCTGTGCAAGGCAAATGTTATAACACACAGTAGCTTTCAACGAGTAGTTAACAAGTTTCTGCTTCAATTTTCAGCCATGGTACCTACTAAAAAATCCAAGCAGGAACTCGTTAATTAATACTGAGAAGCTACAGTGTGTCAAACTGAACAACAGGATTAAGGCCAAAGTGATATGTTGCGGTTCTTTGGGGTCATTCTCAGCCCTGCTACTGAGTCTCAAGGTGAAAGCAGGAAACAAATTTAAACCACTGAACAGCTTTACATCTGACTTTGACAATATATTTTCTAATATATTGTTTACTGAACAGCTAATACTCGCAATAAGCTCAATTTGTTATAGTAATTGAGAGTAAAAAGTTCCAGTTAAGCAACAGCCCCAAAACATCTACAAGATGTTTATACACAAACAAAGCAAACATACACAGTTCAGTGGTACATTTCACACTTACAGGAAATGGTTCTAAGCCTTCTTGGATCACAAAGCCTTCAATAACATGCGTTAGGATTTGTGGTTTAACAATGGCTTGTGGAAGTTTGTTTTCTGTGTTAGGATTCCTATGAGATAATGATGAGCCATTACTCCTTGTGGTGATTGCTGGAAGTAAAAGAGGTGGTTGTGGAACAGAGGTGTGAGAAGGATCAGATGGTGATTTTATTACAGAAGCGCTGACTGATGAGGCTACTGAAGGATGTCCTTCGTGTTCTGGAAAAAAAAGAAGATAATGTACTTTTTTTTGGGGGGGGTAAGCTCAAATGTTTTCATACTTAAGTTGTGTAAGCATGTTTTTTTTAGAGTTAATGAAGATGCTTGGTTTCACTACCATGGCATTTGTTGGTGAGAAGAGGACAATACGTCACAAGTCTATTGTATCCCACAATCAAGTTGATTTCCTGCCTGAAATTTATTTATTTATTTCATAGATTTCTATGTTGTCCCATTAGTATGAGGCAGCATTCTGGATGGTTCCCAAATCAGATCAAATCAAACAGAACAGAAGTAACAGTAAATCAATTAAAGAGTAATAAATTCAAAGCAAATCATACCAGTTAAGACAACCCAACATCACAAAGACAGTGCAAACTTTACCAATAATAAGGCAGGCAGGGCAAGGGGCAAATTCATATAGGGTTGATGTCAAAAGCCTCACTGAAGAGCTGTATCTTAAGCAACCTCTTGAATGTAGGGAGGGAGGGGACCAGGTACAGTTGAGCTGGGAGCTGGTTTCTCAGCCATAGCCAAGAAGGCCTGACTTCTAGTGGATGTTTTACTGGCCTCCTTTGGCGTGGCCACCTGGAGGAGTATGGCCTCAGAGGATCTGGTGGGACAGGTGCATGATCCTGGGGAAAGATGCTCTAGCAAGTAACATGGCCCCAAAGAGTGGAGAGCTTTATAGGTGAGCACTAAAACCTTGAACTTGACCCAGTTCAATGAATCCATTTAACTTGGAAAAGTCCATTGCAGGTAAGACACCATGATGGGGATGCATACTCTCCAAGCTTAAAAGGAAGGTACTTCAAAATGCCAGATGCAGGGGAGTGGTATCAGGAGACAGGTACCTGGTTGTCTCATGTGCTCCCAGAACATCTGATGGGGCCTCTGTGAGATACAGGAGACTGGACTACATGGGCCCCTGGCCTGATCCAGCAGGGCTCTTCTTATGTTAACTTAAATATTACCATCATAGTTATCAGGCTTTACAATTTCTTCACTTTCAATATACAAAAGATAAATTACATATTGTAAGTTATTTGTATGTCTTTAATGCCTAGAATGGTCGTAATGACCAGATAGGCGGGGTATAAATAAAATAAATAAATAAACTAAAGAAAAAGGAACAAGCTTATCTCTTCTAAACCTTTTCACTCCATGTACTGCTTCTAATTTTGAAGCTTAGCACAACAGTCCATTTAGTTGTGGCGCAGTGGTTAAACTGTACTGCAGCCAAAACTGTGCTCATGACCTGGGGTTCAATCCCAGGTAGCTGGCTCAAGGTTGACTAAGCCTTCTATCCTTCCAAGGGCAGTAAAATGAGCACCCAGCTTGGAATGTGTAGCTTGCATAATTAACTTGTAAACCACCCAGAGAGTGCTTGAAGCACTATGGGGTGATATATAAGCAGCACACGTTGCTTTTCTTCTGCTTTAGTCCACACTTTTTAGTCCAGAGGTGGGGAATGTGTGCCATCCAGATGTTATTAAACCACAGTTCTCACTAACTCTTGCCAGCAAACCTGATGGCAAGGAATTTTGGGAGTTTCTGTCAAACATCAGGAAGGCGACCATGTTCCCTGCTATATATTACTCATCCCCACCCATATAGTTTAAAAATAATTATTAGCCTAAGTATGATAATTACTGATATTCTTATTCTCTTTTAAAGTGTCTTAGCAAAGGTTAACATCATTTATCATTAACTATGTTTGTGTCATTTCTCTCCTTAAATGGAAACCCAGTTAAGAAATGCATGCAGTCAAATAAATGCCTTTTTATTCTAGTGGTCTATTTGATTTACATATATAACTACAGTATATTGTTCACCAAATCAAGGGGATCTATGGCCTCAGAAGGAAATTAGAATGCAATGTATTCTGTGGAGACTTGAGGTGCTCTTTTTCCTGTTGTGCTGGTCCACAAACCAACAAAATGGCTACAGCAAATTGTTGTATCCAAGAAAGAATCCACATATCGAGGGGACTTGTCCATGAAAGCTCATATTAAGATATAGCAGTTAGTTTTTAAAGTGCCACAATGCTTTTGTCTTTATGTTTTATTTTTCTTGCCTGATACATGAAAGCTCATATTAAGATATAGCAGTTATTTTTTAAAGTGCCACAATGCTTTTGCCTTCTTTATGTTTTATTTTTCTTGCCTGATATCCAGAATACTCAGGAAATTGGATGAGAGTCTCTTTCTTTTATGTAGAGCACAACCATTAGGCTTTACCTGTTACATGAAGAAAGAAGCACAGGAACCAGAAGCTGCTCTAAACAATGATGCACCTCTAACACACCTTACCTGAAAAAGATTCCTCAAAGGCAAGCTCTTCTCTATTTCTTAAGGTTATAGCTGGTGGTGACAGTGTGGGTGGAGTAGGTGTCTGAGCCATACGAAGACATTCTGAGTCCTCTGGAATTTCTTCCTCACACATGTCCTCAACTTGATAAATCTGTATTGACGAAATCATCAGTTTTAGAAGCAAGTCCTGTTGATACTTTAAAAGACTAGGTTTTGTCTGTTCTCAAACCCCCCCCCCAAAAGCAAAATAAACAGATTAAATACCTTACTTTTCTGTGTATAAAACAACACTTTTTCCTAAAATAATTAAAGGAAAAATTGAGGGTCATTTTATACTCAGAAGTAGGGGGGGTGAAGGATTAAAGCGCTTTGATCCCTGCTTTTCAAAGGTTAAGAACCACTGCTTTAAATAACTAGGTTTTGTCTGTTCTCAACCCCCCCAAAAGCAAAATAAACAGATTAAATACCTTACTTTTCTGTGTATAAAACAACACTTTTTCCTAAAATAATTAAAGGAAAAATTGAGGGTCATTTTATATTCAGAAGTAAGGGGGGGGGGAAGGATTAAAGCGCTTTAATCCCTGCGAAATCGCTTTCCCCCTCCATTTTCTTTGCAAAACGTGTAGGGGAAAAGCTGGTTTTTGCAACAAAAATGTAAGTGGTAAGCTGGAATCACTTTCCCCCTCCATTTTCTTTGCACAAACGTGGAGGGGAAAAGGTTTCCCACTCCATTTTCTTTGCAAAATGTGTAGGGGAAAAGCTGTTCTTTGCAACAAAAATGTAGGGGGAAAACAGGAATCGCTTTCCCCCTCCACTTTCTTGTAAAGAAAGAAATTTTGGGTTAGAAAATGGGGGTTCTTATACATGATGGTCTTATACACGGAAAAATACGGTATATATAACTCGTCCTGTGCCATCATATCACATCTGATTTATGGTCACCCTAAGAGGTTTTCAAGACATGTAAGATATTCAAAAGCTAGTTTATCATTGCCCCTCCCCGCCCCAGTGAGCTTCCATAGCCAAGTGAGGATATGAACCCAGGTCTTCTAAGTTCTAGGCCAACATTCTACCAAGTACACCACACTGGCTCTCAAGACTGTAATACTACATTTTATCTAAATGTATAGTACTTTAACTGTCGTGTCTGAAGGTAGGATGTTTTAGTTCCCCAAAGTCATATTTTCTAGCACAATCCACAGAGAATTGTCCCTACAAGTTAAGATATTTCTATGACTGTCAGGTAAGGGGTTGTTAGGGATGGGACCTGTGGACAAAATAAAACTCCCAGTCCCATAATTCAGCAGGATCCCACCAGAAAAAAGAAGCAAAAAACACTTGTGTGACTGCCCTTACTGTTTTTCCAAGCCTTTATTCACAATCTTATAATATTCATTATAAGAAAAACAACTGACATCTAAGATAACTTGAGTTGATGTGCGAGCTTTATGGCTGCAAATAAGTTGTCAGAAGCTTACCACTGGTGTCTCAACAGGTACTTGTTGTACTTGAAGGTTTACTGCAACTGTCTGGGGTGGAGGAAGTGTCTGAAATGGCAACTGGACCAATGCTTCAGCAGCAGGAAGTTCCTCTTCAGAAACCAATGTATTTTGTACCAAAACCTGACCTTGAGACAAAATGTCAGGCTGCACTTGTAAAGACTGCACAGGAGGAAGGGGGAGTGGCTGATTGTGGGTCGGAGATGTCGCGATCTTCGGGGAGGTGGCAACCGGAACTGGTGTAGGCTGCAAAGTTGCATACTGTGAATGAGGTGTTGGAGAAGTTATCTGTTGCCCTGTAGACATCACAGAAGGTGACTCTGATGACCCAATGTGTCCTGCTGGGGAAGGCGGCAGCTGAGGTGGAAGATTAGCAGGTTGTGATATTGGTTCTGTAGGCCTATCATCACTCTGAGTTGGGGTATGCTCTGTGTGAAGTGCTGATGATACTAATGGATGTGACTGTGACTGAATAAGATTTTGGGGATGAATAATAATAGTTGGCGATTGGCTGGGGGAAGGAGGTGGCGGGGGAGATACCACCACGGATTGCTGTGAGGATTGTGATGGAGTTGGAGAAAGTGGAGGGGGATGGATGTGAACAGATGTACAGTGCTGTGATGGGGTACTGCTGGGAGGTGGAGGGAGGGCATGGCTCTGGAGTGGTGCACAGTGTTGAGATGGAGATGGTTCCTGACTGGGAGGAAGCTGGAGTGTGATTGGTTGAACTTGCTGCTGCTGGAAGATCAGCTGATGGTGGGAAATTTTTGAAGGCGGAGAATGAAGAGGGGACTGTTGATGCTTCAATAGAGAATGAGGTTGGATCGGAGAATAAGAAGCTGCACAATGAAAAGGGGAAAATAAGAATTAATATTCATTTCTTCAAGAAATGAAGACCATCAACATTCCAGAAAAACATATGTATTTTCTGACAAACTTTCAGAGTGTTCACCCAGTATTAGGCCAAACCAAGAGCAATAGCCATTTATTTAAGAAGACTAATAGCCAATTTATGAAAAATAATGCTCTGAAATGATAAATATTCAGAGAAGCATATCTGTGAATAAGGAAATGAAAACTCAGTAGTACAGGTACAAACACATGCACAATGTGTTCACAGGTGTATGTATGTTATAAATGACTTTAGATTGTTGTTGTTACTACTAATAATTCTCAGCATTGCTGATAAATGGGAACAAACAAAAGGATCAAGCTTAAAAATTAGGAATCAGGTCCTAAAAATCTGCAAGTGAGATGATATGTTTGCAAAAATCATTGCTTTTTAAATTTTTGAAAGCAAATTAGCAGGTATTTGCAATTAGGGACGTGGCGGTGCTGCGGGTTAAACCACAGAAGCCTGTGCTGCAGGGTCAGAAGACCAGCAATCGTAAGATCAGATCCACACAACGGAGTGAGCTCCCGTCGCTTGTCCCAGCTCCTGCCAACCTAGTGGTTCGAAAGCATGCAAATGCAAGTAGATAAATAGGGACCACCTCGGTGGGAAGGTAACAGCGTTCCGTGTCTAAGTCGCACTGGCCATGTGACCACGGAAGATTGTCTTCGGACAAAACGCTGGCTCTATGGCTTGGAAACGGGGGTAAGCACCGCCCCCTAGAGTCGAACACGACTGGACAAAAATTGTCAAGGGGAACCTTTACCTTTACCTTGCAATTGTTTTAAACTGGTAACCAAAGACTTCGGAACAATCCTGGTTGCATTGGGAGGGTTAGCATTGGGAGGGTGGTGGTGGGAAGACTTGATCTAGCTTTCATAAATGTTTAATTTCTTGCTTTAATGTTTGGTACTTTGCAATGATTCTGATTTCTGTACTTTTGATAATTTCTTTTGAAGGAGCTCCAACTTGTATGGTTTTTTGTTGCTTATCCAGAAGTATAATGTCCAGCTTCTCACAATTACGTTTTATCCATAATTGCAGTAGGACCCTTGTATCTGCAGGTGATTGGTTCCAAGGCCAACCCCCATGCCTAAAACTGCAGATAATAGCAACTGCTATACTGTGCATAGTATAGTCTCTGCCTCCCTCTAGTGGCCAGTTCTTGTAACTATACTGTGAAAATACATATTTCTGGGATTATTCTTTCAATATTTTTCCTATTTTTGGAATGTAGATAAGTGAAAACCACAAATAACAGTTCTGTTGATATGGGGGTCCACATGTACTTGTCTGTATAGTACTGTGGTTTCATTTTTTAAAACTGGAAGTGGCTGCAATTTATAATATGGAGGAAAAGATGTGAGTAATCCACGAGATTTCGTCAAGTGCTGAAAAAGCAGCCCACCTCTGCTTCAGACATCTATGCTCAGGTCCCATATGCATTTCTACACCTAGCAGGTGCAGACAGCCTCAGCATGAGAGAGGCATATTGGAGGCCTTCTCTGCTTATGGAGTCAGCATGACTTGACTCTAACAGTGCCTGGCATCAGTAATGGGCTGAATGGGGGCAAACAAACTGAAATCTAATCCAGACAAGACAGAGGTGTTCCTGGTTAGTCGGCAGGTAGATGAGGGAATAGGGATACTACCTGTGTTGGATGGGGTTACACTCCCCCTGAAAACTCAGGCCGCAGCTTGGGTGTACTCCTAGATTCATCCCTAAACTTGGATGCCCAGGTCTTGGCAGTGGCCAGGAGTGAATTTGTGCAGCTAAAGCTGGTACACCAGCTGTGCCCGTTCCTTGAGATGTCAGATCTGGCTAAAGTGACACATGCCTTAGTTACATCCCATTTGGATTACTGTAATGCGCTCTATGTGGGGCTGCCTTTGAAGAAGGTTTGGAAGCTTCAGCTGGTGCAAAACTCTGCAGCCAGACTACTGACTGGTGCCGGTTACAGGGAGCATATAATGCACCTGTTACAAGAACTGCACTGGCTACCAGTCTGTTTCCAGGCCCAATTCAAAGTGCTGGCCATTACCTATAAAGCCCTATACAGCTTGGGTCCAGGCTGCCTGAGGTCCCGTATCTCCCTATATGTGTCTTCTCGGCAATTAAGATCAGCACAGGAGACCCTCCTCTCAGTCCCATTGCCAGCACACGCACAGCTGATGGGGACCCGGGAGAGGGCCTTCTCTGTGGCAGCTCCCAGGCTATGGAACACTCTCCCTCAGGAGATCAGGATGGCCCCTTCAGGCAGGCTTTTAACAATTTCAACTGAATCTCTAAACCATTTCAGCAAATAATTTTAATACAGTATTTTCCATGTTTTAATCTTTTAATTTAATTTGTAAGTATATACACAGTATACCCATACAATGAATTTCACAGACACCCAGAGACCAGACACATGCACACACATAAAATTCCCCAAACACTCCCCACTCACTAAAAAATCCCCCAACACTCCCTACCCACTGAAAGTCCCCACTAAAAATACAAACATCTACACCGCAGGCCAAGTAACACAGTCCAACTAACTATTCACTACTGGTGGTCTTTAAGTTCATTATTAAGTGCAATTATAGCTATGGGATAAAAACTATTCAGAAAACGTGAGGACCGAGACTTAATTGTTCTATATCTTCTGCCAGACGGCAACAGTTCAAAAAAGTTATAAGCAGGATGGGAAGAGTCTCTCAGGATGCTGTGCGACTTCCTCAGACAGCGGGATGTGAAGATGTCATCCAGGGTTGGTAGCTGGAGCCCGATGATATTCTGGGCAATTTTAATGGTTCTCTGTAGAGCTTTTTTGTCTGCTACAGAGATACTCCCAAACCATGCCAGAATGCCATAGGTTAGGACACTCTCAATGGTGCTATGATAGTATGACAGAAGTAAATGCCGAGATAAATTTAACTTGCTGAGCATTCTCAGGAAATACAGCCTCTTCTGTGCCTTCTTCACTAGCATGTTGGCATTTATATTCCATGAGAGGTCCTCTGAGATGTAAGTGCCCAGAAATTTAAAACTACCAACTCTCTCCACTTCCTCGCCATTTATGTACAGTGGTAAATGTACATTTCTCTTCCTCCTAAAATCAATTATGAGATCTTTAGTTTTTTTGATGTTAAGTGTGAGATGATTTTCTTTACACCAAAGTATCAACCCTTGTACTCTTTTCTATAAGCAGACTCATTGTTCTTATTTATGAGCCCCATATTATCTTTTAATGTTTAATTTATTATGTTTTTAAATTGTGTGCATTTTTAAAATATTATGAGCCTTATTGGGAGAAATACGGCATATAAATAGAACTAATAATAATAATAAAAAACTAATAATACAGCTTGCCTTCTTCTGGTGATTTTTGTTGTGTTTGGTGGAGACATTCAGAACAGACAACAGTTTCTCTTCACACAACACACTTTATTTTATTTATTGCAAATATATGGTTTCTGTTTTCATTTCCCCACCTCTAATTTTCAGATGGCAAAAACTAAGACATACATTCTGAGCTAGCACAGGAAAAAGCAGTCTATACTCCTCTCTTCATATGACATATAACATCAATTTTCCTGGTAATACTTCTGTATTTCTTAGTAACATACTTTTATATGCAAAATAAATAACAGAGTAAGCATTTTATGTTGCTGAAGCACTAAAATAAATTTTGGTTGATATGAAAATAAATACTACATACATTTCAAAACACACACCCATTTGTTCTCCCCCCCCGGGGGGGGAGGACATGGAAAATGCCATTATTTTTCCATGGTTTCAGTATTTCTGGAAATTGTACAATACTGTTCCAACCCAATGCCTCCTATGCCTGCAAACAAGTTGTGGTGTAAATTAAGAGAGGCAGCTGTGCAAACAACACAGACAGTAATTGTGACAAGGAAAAATACAGTTCTCCCACATCGAACCACACAATCAAGAATGCCTTCCTACTTAATAAAGCTAAAACTTCTGAAGAGCGTTTAAAGCAAAATTGTAACAGGACAGCCCAGGGAGAAGGGACAGTTGTCAGAGAAAGAGGACAAAGCCACAAGGAAGGTTTTGATTTAAGCCTTGGAATGAACTAGAAGCCCAACAACTACTGGCCGCATTCCATGGGAGAAAAAAAAAGATGCTGCCCACTTGCTTCCTACTACAACTTTGCTTGCCAATAAAAAGAGATGTGCATTGTATGAATGAACAGAGGGCAGCCCACATATGTACCAATATAGCATACACAGATAGTATACATTCAAACAGAAAAATAACCACCCTAACTTCATGTTACAAAATTTCCCCTGCCCACTTCATCAGCTGAACTTTGAACCTCTGCAGTTTGTCTCCTTTCCTTTTGCCTTTTGGAAGTTCTGGCTGGCTTTGGTGCTGGTTATGGGTTTATTAAGTTATTGAGGGGGAAATGTGCAGGTAATTTATCAGTGTTATAAAATTGACATAACAACATTGTCTGAGGGACATGGTGGCGCTGCGGGCTAAACCACAGAAGCCTTTGTGTGCTGCAGGGTCAGAAGACCAGCAGTCATAAGATCAAATCCATGCGACAGAGTGAGCTCCTGTCGCTTTGTCCCAGCTCCTCGCCAACCTAGCAGTTCAAAAGCATATAAATGCGAGTAGATAAATAGGTATCATCTCGGTGGGAAGGTAAACAGCGTTCCGTGGCCACATGACAACGGAAACTGTCTTTGGACAAACGCTGGCTCTACGGCTTGGAAACAGGGATGAGCACTGCCCCCTAGAGTCAAACACGACTGATTAAAATGTCAAGGGGAACCTTTACCTTATCATGCCAATTTAATATCACTGATAAAATTTATTATGGCAATTTTATATCACTGATAAAATTTAAAGTGATACAAAATTTTTATATCACTTTATATCACTCGACTTTGGAATAAACTTCCATCAGAAATTTGCTTGGCACCCTTGCTGGTTGTTTCTAAGAGCCAACTTAAGACCTGGCTCTTTAGGCAGGCCTTCCCTCCGATCACTACTTGATTTTCTTTTCTATCTTAACTTCCATTTTGCTTTTCCATCTTGAATGCCACTAATATTATTGATTTAAATTGTCATTTTAATTGTTTATATGTTGTTTTTCATGTTTTTACTGTAAGCTGCCCAGAGTAGGCGTGTTCTAGATGGGTGAGATACAAATCTAATAAAATAAAATAAAATAAAATAAAATAAAATAAATAAATAAATAAATAAATAAATAAATAAATAAATTGTTGTTTCAGGTTTGTTAAAATGCACATCACTGCTTTTAGTATCAAAGGAAGGCTCAGATGGCCTGGAGTAAGAGATTACATAGGTGTAAGACTGGGAGGGTATGCTTGCCCTTTCCCAAGTATCACTTTTTAGATCAAAATAATTTTAGAGTTTCTTGGAGTCTCATGGAACACCAGATTGAGTGGTATATTCCACACAATAACTGACTGGTTGGAGAGAGGAGACTCACCATGCTGGATGCGAATCAAACCTCTTGTACCTAAAATGGGGATCCTTTTAAAATATTATCTCTCTCCCTTACCTGGTGCTATGAGTTGATGGATACTTGATGTACGCGTAACAGCTGGACTTCGAGGCTCTGCAGTCGGACTGTCTCCTTTCCTTTTGCCTTCTGAAGGATCTGATTGGCTGGCTTTGGTACTGGTTACTGGTTTATTAGGACACACAGCTAGTGTCTGAGCTTGACTACTGCTTTTTGGAGAACCATTCTGGGAACTAGATAATACACCCAACTTCTGGCCGCGCAGTGTCAAGTTCTGGACCTGGAAAAAGTTATACAAAATTTTGAAAACAGAGCAAAAAGGTTTAGCAAAAACTATCATAATAGGAAGCTTTTAAGCTGATGTTATCAAGATGAGAAAGGCACATATTCACTCTATCTGAGCCTAACATATATGTCCTCATGGAGCTGTAGTTCAGACTCAGCACTGTGATATTTACTACAGGCATTCAACATCAATACAATGTCAGTAGCATGTCAAGCACTAGAAAGAATACCAAAGGCAACAATGGTTGGAAAGGAATACTCCAATCTAAATGAGAGTAAGACAGACATTTGAAACAGGTAGTGGGCAGATCTTCCCAAAGTCCACTTTGCCCTGTCTGATATACGAGCGCTAGAGCAGTGGTTCTTAACCTTTGTTACTCGGATGCTTTTGAACTGCAACTCCCAGAAACCCCAGTCAGGACAGCTGGTGGTGAAGGCTTCTGGGAGTTGCAGTCCAAAACTCCTGAGTAACCCAAGGTTAAGAACCAGTGCGCTAGAGAACATGCAGCTCTTGTAAGGAAAGTGATGCCAGGAACTCCAAAAGAGGGTAAGAAGGCAGACACTTCTGATACTGTTACAGTGGGGTCTCTACTTAAGAACGTCTCTACTTAAGAACAATCCAACTTAAGAACAGCTCCATTTGCTAAATTTTGAGCAACAAAAATCCAAGATAAGAACAGAAATCCAAGATAAGAACAGGAAAAAAAATCTTTCCTACTCTTTTTTTAACCTTAGGTCATTTTAGGTTAAAAAAAATTCTCCCCCTAGTGGTAGAGTACGTATTAACCAGCTTTGCATTAGTTCCTATGGGAACTAATGCTTCAATGTACGAACGCACCTCTACATAACAAAAAAACAGCCAGAACGGATTAATTGGTTTTCAGTCCATTCCTATGGGAAATTTTGCTTCAACTTAAGAACGTTTCAACTTAAGAACACCATTCCAAAATGGATTAAGTTCTTAAGTAGAGGTTCCACTGTAGTTTCTATGGACGGAAAAGAGCAGATACGGATTAAATGGTTTTCAATGCATTCCTATGGGAAATGCAGATTCAACATAAGTACTTTTCAACTTGAGAACCACCTTCCAATACGGATTAAGTTCTTAAGTAGAGACCCCACTGTACTCAGGCCTTATCATGAAGATACCTACCCTGTTTCCCCGAAAATAAGACCTAACCTGAAAATAAGCCCTAGTATGATTTTTCAGGATGCTCGTAATATAAGCCCTACCCCAAGAATAAGCCCTAGTTAAGTGAAACCCAGCCCTCCACCATTGTGCAGCAATGAGAAGATGACATGACTGTATTTGAATAAATGTAGATTGTTGTACATGAAAAAAAAATCCCCTGAAAATAAGCCCTAATGCGTTTTTTGGAGCAAAAAATAATATAAGACCCTGTCCAACAGCCAATAGCGCTGCTGAAAGGTGTATCTACTGTACTTTTACGGGTGCTGCATATAAGCTTTCCCGTCCAGCCATTCCCCACTTCTGGGGAGGGGAACTGTGGTCGTGTGACTGTGGAATCTCTTTTCCTTTATATTCAGTTTTCAAAAGTTCATTTTAGAGAGGCTTGTGTGTCTCACGGGATTTGGAGGGTGGTTGGATCCATCATTCCTTTTTCTTACAAAACCTATTTGTGTGTGTGTGTATGTGCGTGTGTGAGTGAGACTTA